TGCACTTTGCTTTGTAGCTTCAGAGTTGGAACTGCCTATAAGCAAAATGATGTTTCTCACGGTTCCACTGTTGTTTATCCAAGTCACAAAAATGCGCCAATTTTTTCTATGCGTGAAAAAATATTTGCGCAGATCCCCACTTCGAGAAAATTCAAGTTATCCAAAAGGGAATATTGTGCACTTATAGAACAGCATAGCATTACAATTCACACATAAATGAATGATAGAGACTCTCCTGAATCCTACTTTTTGCAAAAGCATACAAAAGGGGAAATTAATGGCTTGTCGCTTAAAGCACTTTCATTACTCGAAAAAAATTATCTTATCTCCTAGTCAATTAAGTTAATGCTGTTCTATGTAGTGACCATTTCTGATAACTGAAATATCCCTTCGGTGTCAGGTCTATTCAGCGACCGAATGTGATATGTATTGGGAAACAATCCTCAACACAGATTGTCCTTAATGTTACCAAACCAGAAACATAGTCACAATAAACAGCAGCATTCATCTAACTCCACAATAAAAAATCTCAGTGATGTCAAGTGAGCGAGAGAGGCTAGGAACTCGGAAAACACGACCAAAAACAAATTTTATTCTCTGATGAAGTGCTTTATTAGAAGCGGTACTATCGTCCGGGCAATATGATAACGTTGCTTTGTGCACCGTTATTGCTGTAGTTGTGCAATGATGAAACTAGTTACATTATGCTGGCTTTGTACTTTAATGGAAAAGTCACAATGCTGCTATCTGGATTATTTTTTCTTCTTTTAAGAATAAGCTTTTTATAGTTCTCCCCGGTGGATACTCGTGTCCGAGTATTTGGATAACGAGAATATAAAGAGGATGGCCTGACCTGCCATTTTCTGGATTTAAATCCTGATTGTCATTTTTAGGCACTCGAGATGCTTCAGAACGTCAGCTGCATTTAAGTATATTTTAGAAACTAAGAAGTGCACTTCAGGAGTAATAAAATTGGCGTCTATAAAATATTTACAAAACTTGCTATGTAATGTGATAAGAAATCATTGCTCTTGTGGTTAAGCGATTCGCATACCCATCTGTTAAATGAATCTGCGTTTCAAATTCCAGTCACCGCACACTTGATTTATTGCTTTTTTTTCCCTCTAGAAAGCCTAATAATATCTACAATGGCTTCCGAACCAAAAATAGTGGATTACCATCTTTGGTTCGCAAGCCATTGTATGTATTATTAGGCTTTCATTAGTAGGCCACGTTTTTCAAAATGTCGTGGACTACAATTCTTCACCACCTGCATGTGAACAGCAAGTTTTCATATCTTTTTCCAGTCGGCATTTAAATAGAGGAAATAGGCTTACTAATATAGTATAAGTGGTTAGTACATCCAATTAAGCAGCTGGATGATCCATCGTTGGAATCCCGAAGAGTTCCCTAATCCCCAATTCGGGTTTCGCTCTGCAAAAGGCAATAATCTCTACTAAATTAGCTCCTATGAACAATCTTTCATACCTTTTCTGAAACATTTTTGTCAGTTTCGTGTTTTTATCTGCAAAATTCACACTCCTTTTTCATTTTCTCTTCCAAATTTGCATTTTTCCTTTCTACATATAGTTATCTTATATCTTATATCTGCTTATTCACGAGTTCAAAAATTAACTTCAAGATAGTATAGCATTTCCTTTTTTTTAAGTCTAATTAGTAAAGGAAATATGAAAATAAAAGGAAGATTTCATGCACTTATCTGAAAAATAATGCGAATAGTGGCGAATTTTACCAATTGCCTTTTAACTTTTGAATCCTATATAATTATCTTACTCAAAGTTCAATCCTTACAATACTTTCAACCAGTATCAAGTGCACTGTCGATAATGGCAGTGGCAATGTTTTCGGATACTCATGGTGCAGCAGCTTTACGCTTTGTGCTAATAATGTTCGATTATTCCGCACCCTCAGGGTGTAAAATCATCTTTATAAAGACAACAGTTGCAAAGGATCTTTTCGGAAGTTTGATGGCTTCTAAACTCCGAAGAGAGACTGAAGCACGATGCCAAAGAGATGTAAAGCCATTTGATTTAGAAATGTTTCATTGAAGTTTAAAAACGTACTATTAGAAGATAATAACTTGGAAAACTGAGTTTTCCACAGCTGCTTTCAAAACTTAATATATGTATTTATGCTTATTTATGCTTGTATATATATACATAAATTAAAAGATATATGTAACTGTATGCTGCTGAGATGTAATTTGTAAATATACTTAAGTTGAAATTAAAATTAAACAGACAAAAGAAAAATATGTAAAAAATACCCAATATATTAGTAATTGAGCAAATTAATTATAACTTCAATTAACTTTAATTAGTAATTGAGCAAATTATTCAATTAAGGAATAAGTTAACTTCAATTTTTAAAAAACTAAATTGAAAAAAATTTAAACTAAAAATGGAGTAAAAAATTCCGATTTCTAACGGTCGTTTGTTTTACCAGAAGTTCAACGATGTGCAAGTAATTATACTTTGGCTTTGTATTCACCGTTGTAATTATTTCTTTCTGTTGTATATAAAGACACTAATTTTTTAATTTAATTTCAAAATATAATAGATTAAAAGTTAAGGGGTTCTTTAATTTTTCTATATTTTTAACACCTTTTTAATATTTATTTGAAATGTTAGCTTGTATTCACATGTATAGGACTGATACTATTGATTTTTTTTTCGAGTAGGTTAGATTTGTTCTTGTAGAGGAGGATTTTTAATTTTAGGAGACATTAATAGTATTTATATTATTAATTTAATGCCTAGGATAATTTTAAGCTTACAGAAACAGAATAAATCTACCTGAATAAAGCGTATTATCCCATAAAAAGGCTTTGCTTCCCTTGACAAAGAGTCTGAAAATAATAATACAGCTTTTTCCACTTTTTAGTCATTTACACGGCTGTATTTTAATTTATATGATATGGCAAATGTCATTTTGACTTCATGTTTAGTTTTAATTTTTTAAAACCAAGTAATCTAACTCCAATAATAATTTGCAATGCTATTATTTTGTTCATTTACTAATATGTTATTTATTTTCTTACATGTTTTCTTTTTGTTTGCTTAAATTTAATTTTAACTTAATTAACATTTACAAATTACATACATACATTACGTTATATACATATATTTTTCCTTCACTGAGAGGTAATAACAATTATTGTAAACTCTGAAAACCTCGTTGTCTTGACTCTTACTGTTATGTCTGTATAAAGTACTATTATTTGCTGTTAATAATGATTTTTGAAATACTTTAAGCTTATTTGAGATATATAACCCATGAAAAGTATTTGGATTCATTGAATAACACTTTTATTAAACTTTTCAGTTAGATTATCACAAGAATGTAGGTTATAAAAAAAGCATATTAAATGGATAATCGCAATTACTGTCAACCATCCTCAGCTTCTTTTAAAACAAACAATGTTGTCCTCATTTTGTTTCATAAAGATCTTAGTATGATGTTAGATACTGAAGAAACTTCACTTGTAATTGCAGAAGACCTTACATTTCTCAAAAGCAGAACAAAAAAGTTTTCAATCATATTAGGTGTATTACACATTAGTTCTAATTGACTGACAGTTGTAACTGAAAATTTGTTATCAGAGGCAATTCATTCTGAGCCGTTTTGTTCGAAAATATATACAAGATTTTGATTTTAAATGAAATACACTTTCAATTAAAAAAGTACAGCTGGTATTATGTGAAATCTTTTCTTGTAGTACTAAATATTATTTTTCGTAAACACAATCATTATACTTTGTGTTCCCGTTTGTTTTATTAGGGAGAAATATTTGTGCATTTTCTTATTATGAATATTTGAATAGATAAAAATGATTGTAAAGTCCCTAATTTCACCTACTAAAAGTATTTGATTTCAAACCCATTTTTTGTAATGTATATTAAATTTGTGTTTGACTTATTGTATACATTATTTTTTTTAATCTTCTAGAGCTTCTGAAAAGCTATCAAAAACTTTGTTTCCATAGTGTGTTTCTGCGTTTGACTTTGCCTTCAGATTGAGATTTATAAACTTAGTGCGACCATTGCACCTTTTTAAGAATCCTTCTCTTGGAAGAGCTTTTATGTTTTGTCTTGAACGAAGAGGCCTTTACTGTGCATTATACCGGTGAATAATTCTTCGAAGGATTTTAATTATTTTAAAATAATTTTACTAAATAATTTCTAAAATAATTCCTTAAATAATTTGTTACAACTTCATTAAAGGGGATTTTGTAGAATATGAAGCTAAGTTTATGAACTCGTATCCAAACGCCGGCAATCATTAAGGCTAAAAAGGGCATTTGGGCATATCACACAAAGTAAAATTGAGATGAACTGAAATAATAAATTATTTTTTAGGAATTAAAAGATGCAAGGTTGTTTTGAAAATTTTTATCAAATTGCAGTCTTTGACTAATTCACTTGTTAGCAGCAAAATTCGTCTCTTGTTAAAACAAATACATTCTCTTTGTTGTATTCGTCGAACCACCAGTTGCCGAGCAGTAAAACCGTCGGGCTCAAATCTCAGCGAATGGGTTAGTTTGTGTGAATTGTGAATACCAGCCAGCTACCCTTCAGAATTTCTCAACGAAGGAAATCATTTCCTCAGACAAGTAGCCCTCGAGTGCTTTGCAGTAATCTACGTAAATATTCTTCGAATTCCGCTTATTAGCTGTCATAGAGGAAAAAAATGTTAACCTTTTTTAAAACTCTCTTGCAGATTTAATTCCTAATGATAATTTTAATAATAATGTTAATGTTGATCAGCCATATTTCAATAGCAATTGATATCAATCAACTCAACATAAAGTAATATGTATTTTTGCCAAGTTGATACTAATAAATGAAACCTCATTTCTGATGAAATTTCCTTATCTGTAATACTGTTTATGTCAAGATTATTTAAGTGGAATGTAATGCTTATATGAACTGTATAATGACCTGAGCTAATTATTGAAAATGAAGGGGGAAAGCTGATGGTTTGAAATAGTAACACAATAAATTTTATTTATTTTTAATTACATATTTATAACAATGACATACAGCACCAATAAGGAAAGATTGTGGAATTTCAATACATACAGCATTTGCATAATAAGCATAAATTATATCCAGTAATGACAGATAATTATCCTTAGGTGTGCTTGCTGGATGAAACATCTATAAATAATGAGATACTTAATCAAGTATCTTCTGCTGTGCACAACAATGAAACATATATATAACAAAGAAATTCTAGTAGATGTTTTGAAAGCAAAAAGTGTTTTCACGAATCAATCTACATTTGTTTTCACCATAGAATAAGAAGACGTACGTTTACAGAACACAGTTGTAAATTAAATGACAAGCTTAATTTTACTTGAAAAAGATATGGATGGAAGATGCTGTGCAGTTGAACAACTATAGGATCTACATTTTCGAATTTGAAGCCTCATTCACGATTTTAAAGAGTAAGTACTATTTGCTAAATACTTATAGGTATATTCTGTTCAGTTGTATGCACTGAATAAAATATTAAAGAAACTTCATGAAATTTCCTTTTCAGTATAATAGTGCTGTAATAAACATTTTAGTCGACTTTGATGTAGAGTTGTACTTATATCTGCAGATGTATGTATAGTTTCTGCAATGTTGAAACAGGCAAAAAAGATTTCTATATGTACATTTTTTCTAATCCTAATCCATAGAAATTGTTTAATAACCTACACTTTTCGAAAAACTTAACGTTATTAAAATGTTTAGCTTTTACCAGACAAATTTTAAGGGGAAAATTCAATGTAGATTTTTATATTTTTTTGGTCTTGCAATAGTTATAGACTTAATTCTAATAATCTGTTTCCAAACAATAAATTTTATTGTTTATATATATTTGTTTCATATTACAATGATATAATAGTTTAGATTAAAATAAAGTATTATCTTTTCAAAGGCTAATAATACAATTTACTGGAAATATAAGTATATTAATATATAATTGCTGAAATTTATATCTTTATTAACACACTTGTAATTTAAAATTTATCAACTTAAATCAAGTACTTAAGTAATAATTTAAAAGTTATATAAATTTACAATAATTCTGTTCCATCTAATTTGGCTGCCTTTTTGTAAAACATACCTAGAAGTCAAAATTTCAGAAAGTGTTCTGTTTAATGTCCTTTTTGCTTTGTTATTTTAATACTGTCAATAGAAGTGCGGTTCTTAATCTATTCAGTTGCTTTTTACTGGGCAGTTTTGAAAGGAAATTAGCTTTACATAATAAGTAATTATGAATGCTGATGTTTATTTCCTTTTGTAATTAGTCAGTTACATGTAAGAGCTTCATATTTTTGATATTAGACTTTTTGCTGAGACTTCTTTAAAGGAGAAAAATGTGAAGGAGTACAAATAATGTATATACATATAAACATGTACAAGAAAACTGATTTCAGCCTTTGAAGGGGTTTTTGACGTTAATTAAAAATATTAGGGATTTAATAAATGAAAGTAGTTATAAATGAAACTGTCATTTACCAAACAGCCATAAATTTGGTATTTTTCGCTTTTTATACATTAATATAGTTTTCAATTTGGCACGTGAAATACTAAGCTCCATTTTAACTTAATTACTTATAATACTTGATTAACAATTGTTATTAGTCTCGAAAATCTTTAAATGCTTTTTAGATGAAATGAGAATAGAATTATCACATCCGATTCAAAGTTTCATGTACATGAGACAAAAATGTTTAGGAAATTATCCACCGTAATCTTTATTTAGTTCAAATGTAGGAAGGTATTTGTTTCTTTTATGTTTAGTAGGAGTGTTGATATAAAATCTAAACCTTTTATAGTCCTCTAATTGCTTGCCTTGGCTAAAATCACCATTTGTAGGGTTTCGTGATTATATAAATATAAAAACTCTGAAGAATAAGTTACTCTTTTAATTGGTTAAATTAATGGTAAGGTACATGTGCACGATTTAGAATCATGTGAAAAGGTATGGATAAATGCAATTTTTTCAAAAAGATATAAAAGCAAAAGAGTTTCGCAAAGACACGAAAGCTAAGAACAACCAAAATATTTTGCTTGGCGGAGCGGAAGTAAATTTAATTTAATTTTTCTGCTTGAAATTTGTTTAATCACAAGCCAAAACAGGACGTTGTCGAAATCCGAATCACCGTCTGTACAGCCAATAAAAAAAAGGCAAATTTTGTAAAAACAATACAATTTTAGGATTCTTCAGCAATTTCTTTTTGGTTCCATTTTCAGGAAGAATGCGTCAAATTTCGATTCTGACATTTTGAAGCACCATATAACAAAATTATATTCAAGACACGTCATGGATGTTCAGAAATAGCTTTTCTGTAATTTATAGTTAACGAACAGGCATTGTATTCTACTTTATTAAGTGCAACTGAATCCATATAAGCTAAATCTAAACGGTAAGCTATTTAAATAAGCAATCGCATTTTATTTTCCTTACCACATCAAAAAATTAAAATGCTTTTTAACAATTATTTCATTTGAAATATTTTTAATAAATTTTTTTAATAAAACACAATTTTTTTAAATTTTGCTTGGCTTACCTTTTCTCTTAGTTTGAGGGGTACTAGTTTATTAATTTTTCATAATTAGTAATAAGTAATTCATAATAAATATTTTCATAAGTAATTCAAAAATTTCTCCAAAGAGGTAAGATAAAAAGGCATTTAATTACTTAATTTAAAGGAATTAAGCTATATTTTTAAAATCGTATAAAAAGATTTAAAATATACTATTAAAAACACTAAAATGCCTAAGATGTATACCTGAAACAGAGCTGTCGACAATGTCTGTACATGGGGTCACACTTGTAATGGAAAAGTTTAAAGGAATCACGCTGTAGTACATGTACCTTACCTTGAAAATGTAAAATCTCTTGTCCATTTAATATATGTCAGATAATATATATCTGACATATATTAAATCATTTTATATCAATTTATATATATCAGATAATATATATAAATTGAAATAAATTACTAGCATTATGGCTCAACTTTTATTCTTTTAACTAGCCTATCTACGTAATTATAAACCTGTCATATTATTGTAAATAAAATTTTGAATAATTGCATTTGAAAAAGCTAGGAATTAAGCAGGTTCACTTGCAATCTGAACATTTCTTGTGTTAGATTATGATAGAAAAGATGAATATTTTTATTAATCCCTAAATATTAGAAAACTATCATCTTTTCATTCTTCAATGCAGTCTGTTATAGGTATGAAAAATGTACTTATTTCTGAGAAGAATTTACTTAGTTCTCTCTACATTATTCAGACATCATTCTATTTTAGGAATCTATGTATATCCAATTCATTTCTAATTTTTTGTATTTACAGAAATATAAGCATTTCAAGTTAATTTAATTTGTTAAAGATCATAGGGTTGGTATCTGCTTTAAAAATTCAACATGTTTCAAATATCTTTCCTTAATAACATTTCCATTCATAAACAAACTTTATGCAATATTTTTCCACGAGACTTAGTTGAATAAGTAGATAGTGGATTGAAAGGTGGAAACACTGTTCTGTGTTTTGGAAAAATTATATGAATAATTATTTGATTTCGAATAGCTAGTTAATGAATAAACAATTATTTTTATTTCGCATTTAAAGAGATGCACATCAGTTAATTTATGGAATGACAAACTCATCTTCAAAATACATGAACGTTGTCATTAAAAGTACCTGACGGATGTGTATGTTATGTGCATATCCATGATAAATACATGATATATGCAACATATATTTAAAAGTCTGTTATTTTATTGTAATTTTTCTTAATTGTTATTGAATAGGACTTAAATAACTGATTAGTCAATTATTTAAGCAGGCAGTATTTCATGAGTGTTTTTGCATGCAATAAAAAGGAAAACATGAGCCTACATTTAAAAACATTTTAATAAAATTTCATATTTAAATTGAAATGAAAACTGCAACATTTACAGATAAATTTTTCTCTATATTGTATAGAACGGTGGCAGTTAAATTCAAAGGCAAAAAACAGTGACTTTCAAATAGAAGGTTTTTATACTGTAAGTTGTATATAAATGGATGAAATATAAGTTTTTTTAAGGTTTTTATGGTGACCATAAATACTGAATATACATACCATCAACATGAAGTTTCAGCTATTAAAAGGAATGTTGTTGAATGTAAGAGAATGACAACTATGAAACTATTAGCTGGGAAAAAATAAAATACTTTTAGTCAAATATTTTCGATATATATAATAAAGTTTCGAATGGGGTTTTATAAAATCATAAATAACTGCTTTTTTATTATTTTAACATTTTTAAAGGTGACGTGGATTCATTATTGTTTCGCAAATGCAATCAAAACTAATTCTAAATTTCCTAATAATCAAGTGAATCGTCTTATCTTTATTACGAAAATCTCGAAGTTGTTTAATTGCAATGAAAAATAGTTAATATCTGATAGAATAATTAAAACAGAGATCAAATAATGCGAATTATTTCCTGAGGGACAGTCAGAAAACATCTTATTATAAACTTTAGTTTAGACAGCTGCAGATTATAAACATGTTATTCACTGAGATAATATTATTTTTACTGATTTACTGAAATCTAAATTTGCCGTTAAATAAAAAATGCACCTTGTATAATTATAAACAATTAAATAATTAATTGTTAATCATTAATTAATAAGACAAAAAATTAATAAATTAAAGTAAGTATTAGTAACCTGATAGAAATATACAGAAACTCAAAGACAATAATATGCTTGAACTGTTGAGATAAAGTATTTAATATAGATATTTACTTCTGTATTTAAGATGGGTAGGAAATATTAACAAAGAATCAATAATACCATTATTTTATTGATGATTTTTATTTGCAAATATGTGTACTGCGATAACAAGATAACAGGTGCTACCCGTTCCCTGCCTAAAAATATCAATCTTTATTAGAAATCTTAGGAATAATTCCTATTCCCTCTAGGAAATACTGTTTTGTGTGAAGTTTCACGTTTGGACATTACAATTAATTGTGGACCGGTCTATTTTGTAAGTGCCAAAGATGAAAAGCTCTGTACTTTTCTGCTAAAAGCATTTATAACGCATGAATCTGTGCTTTGGCGCTCTATTCAGATATCTTAATTTGTTTTTAATCCATAAAAGTGAGGTGCATGTGAAGTTGAAGCTCATGTGGTTGACCACGCTAAAAACTTCTTTATGAAATTGTAGCACCTGACGTGGAATAATTTATTTTTAATCACAGATTATTGCATGTTGCATGCTTTTTGGAGTGAGAAATCTCTCAAAATATGAAAAGATGTCTTAAATAATATTAAATAACCTAATATGACGTTTTACGTCACATAATCTCTAATTAAAAAATATATCTCGGATGTAATAAATTAACTACAAATACCATGAGCAATGTATGAACACATAACATGATCACAGACTTTCATTGTTCAATCGTAATATGTGTTTACCATAAATTTGCACAGAACGCTGGGCGAAATTTTAGTGATAAATCTAATGAAGGAAATTCGATTACCAAAACATAATTAATCTTTGGCATTTACAACTTCAAACCCGAGTGTTTAATCTCTAAGACAGATTTGTATCCTAAGTGACACATTTAAAGAAATACAACATATTCATGAACAACTAGGTGTATATAAGAATCAAATATAACATTCACGCATTAAATATAATTTTGAACACATAAACAATAAAGTACAAGTGATTACATCCTCTATTAAACAAGATCACAAATTTATGGTCACCAAAACCACGACTGAGACCAGGTCATTGGACGATGAACATGCCGGAATTCCATGTCGGTTATCCTGCAAGAAAACAATATTATTTGTAAGAAATTAAAAACGATAACTTTTTATACAAGATATGTAGTTTTAAAATACTATTTTGTAAAATGCAGAATTTAAAATTTTATTTTGTAAAATAGGGAAAAAATTGAGAGATATCTCCTAGTTCTTCATTCTGCTTTAGTTGAATTCTGATAAAAAGGAAAGCGAAGATTGATTAACTTGAAATTTACAGTTTAAAGCTGCACTGATTACTTCGAGGTCTTCATGTTAACTGCTGTGGCTAGCTAACTAATTATTTTGATGATCAGGGTAACGGAAAAAGCTGAACTTTGAAACTGTTATTTTATTGCCCTCTTAATGATTTTGCCCCGTAAAAGTCTTTTTTATGTCATAAAATATATCTTTCATATGACTCTCTTTTCAATTTTAATTAATTTTTTTGATTTGTATCCAAATGACTAATGCTGAAAATTTTAATACATTCTAGCATACAATACATCTACATCCAGAAAAGGAATTTTAATGTATTTAGATAGTGTTTAACTTTCTTTTTTTTCAACGATGGCGGGACAGCCGGTCCACTGGGGCAGTTAGCGCATGGGCTAGGTGGCCCCGCTGACGGAACTAACTTTGCTGGACAAGTTCTTGAATTGCAGGCTCCCAGGCCTATGTTTGGCAGAGGGGCAAGTAAACTGTTGTCAGCATTAAAGTACAAACTAAATCAAAGAGCGAAGGAAAAGTGGCAGCTTGAATGGGAACAAGGACCACAAGAGCGACGTACATTCGAACTGCTATCCCAAGACTGGCGAAAATACCACAATATCAACCTACTTCCTCACCCAGTACATCTCGGGTCCCGGTCCCTTCCCCAAGTATTTTTATGATCGCAACATGGCTACGTCGGATAGATGCATATGCGGAGAAAGCGGAGACCCTGAACATTACATGTTTCAGTGTCCGCTAACGTCAGCCCATTACATTCGCCATCCCACCAATACTGGAATAGAATTTAGAAGATTCCCTTTTAAGCACCGTAAAGTCTTCCAAAATATCAAAAATATTATTGATTTCCTACACCACCAAAGACTGGACCTGTATCATCCATAGCATACAACCCAAAATAATTCTCCAAGTTCAGAAAATGCAACAATAAAAATATCCTTTCCCCACCCTCAGACTATGCATGAGTGCCTTTAGTAGACACTTAAATATCTTCATTTATTGAAACAACCTTGACTTTTCTCATACCTACTCCAAACTACGAAATATGAACTACTTCATACTGTGCAATGTGTGACAGATACACCAGTACTACGCACTCAACACTTTATGAATTCATAAACTGTGTGCTGAACTATGAACTATACTATTAATTAACTTATAAACTGTAAACCGTGTAACAAAAGAACAAACAAAAAACGAACCATGTACTATAATCACTCCCCCCCACCAACAAAACTCCTCCAAACCGAAACACAAAGGAAATAAGTACATACATCTGTAAATAACTTATTGTATTTATCCATGCAACTGCAAAGACCCGTGTAAAGTATGTATTATGTCAATATTGTTTGTAAAGCAAATTATGCACCATTAAATGTAACTATTATGAATGCTGCAATGTAAACAAATGTCCGAGAAAGGCATCAGCGTGCCCCGTGAGGGTGCACTTTCATAGATGGTTAGTGCAGTGGGGCGATATCATTTTTGCCCATGGCGATGTTTGGGTGCCCCCTGTACTTCTTCCTGTCCTGTCCTGTGTTTCAGTCCTTTTCAAAAGTCCACAAAAACCGGTGTGTTTCTTGTAAGTTGATTGCTTTGACGAGTGCTGCAGGGTGCAAAAATGAGTGCTGGATGGGTCAGTGGTTCAGGGATAGAAGAAGGGTTAATGCGGGTAAGGAGAACAAATTCAGTGTCCACATGTGCGGAGCTGATACTGTTTAACTCGAAATTCTTATTAAAATAAAATGGGTACAGAGTCGGAGTAACAGGTGCTGCCGCAGAAAGTTTTTTTTTTTTTTTTTTCTTAATTTTTTAGAGAGGCACTGAGCATGAGAATTTATGAACTGCAGAAATTGCATTGAACAGCATATAGCCTAACGTCGACCTTAGAATGTGTCATCAGAGCCTGTTTTCATGACAATGGTGCGAGGTAGAAATGCATACAAGTACTTTAAGAAATAAGAAATGAATGTTTTGCAATTTAGTAAAACATAATCAAATTAAATTAAATAACTTTTGAAAAATGTTAAAATTACTTTTGAAAGGTAGTTCCTTTTACAGCTCACGCAGTTTACAGTTTAGACCAGCGATGTCAAATTCAAATTGCATGCGGACCGACTGCTTGATGTGAATGTAGCTGACGAGCCAGAACATTTTTTTAACAAAAATTTTAAACATTTTTAAGAAAACGAAAAAGTTCACTTACTGAATAATTTTTAAAATATACATAAACATTTGCAATAATAACGCAATGAAAAAATTCAAATTTATATGCATTTTCTACCTGAAGTCGGTACCTGTGAGGAATTTCCCTTGGAATACTTTGTGATTCAAAGGTATTGACAGCTAAATGTTAAATTTTAGACTGGCATTTATTTCAGGTAATTCCAATTGGTGAATTAACCTTTAATTAAAGTACTTTTAACCCTAACCGGAAAACTTCAAAATAGTGAAGCTCCATCAGCTGTCTGCTGACAAACTAAATTTAATGACTGCACCAATCTGAGAAATTTTACCACCTTAACTTTAATAGTGTGGCCTGGCATTTAAGAATACAACTACGTTATTATTATATTATGCAACGTTCGTGTATTCATGGAAATGTACACAGAAATTTTCTTCGCCGTTTGGATTACCCGATCCTGCAGGATGTACCTATCCTCAGTTTACTGCTGTTCAGTCCCTCTGGATCTAGGAACTGCCGCCCAGGCGGTATAGTTGTTAGTGATGATGAGTGCATTGTCGATCGTCACGGGCTTAAATCCCGGAGAAGGCAGGGATGATTGTAAGCCTACAGTGTCTGTTCGGCAAGGGGTGCTCTCGAAACATACGGCAAACAGAAGTCCTCTCAAAAGTTTGTGGTGGGGACAGAAGAGATACCCTTGTATCTGCACCCTGGATGTTCTTCCTCGAGACTGGGGAGGAAGCTTAACAGTTAATAAGGTCTGGAGATGATTAATATGTACCTATCGAAATACATAGGTGCCGGCCTTGCTTCAATCTGTACCTGTATCTAAGAACTTAAATGATTTGTGTTGCATGAAATTCGCCAAATTTTTTTCTTTGTAACATGACTGCAAGACGTTTTTGAACTATAGAAGAAATTAGCTTCCTAATTTAATTTTTAAAAACTTACTCTGTCCCAAGAAATTGCAAGAAAACATCTGTCTATTTCTGCTGGTTCTTCTCGTTTTATCTTAAGTCGTGTCATTAGTGGTGAAAGTAATGCCGATTCATCCGCTTCTACCCTTATTCCCCTCATTAGTAATTCCCTACTGACGAAAGACCGAATTTTTTCCGATCAATTCCCTTTTCAAAAAGTTGTTATTGAGAGAATCGTTCCTTGAGACAGGAAACATTACGTGACAAATGCCCATCGACTTGTTATACTTAACAATCTGATCAATCATGAGTTTATCGAAACCTAAATTTCTTGAAATCTAATGTTGTCATCCGGTGCTAATATTCGAAGTTAGATCATAAATATTAAAAATAAACTTAAAAACTGACAATAAACGCTTGATTTGCTTAGAAGCTCGCTGAAATCAAACTTTACTGACAAATTCTGAAGATGATACACTTGCATTTCTATACAAGAAGGAAACTACACCTGTATTCCTAGCATTTGTAAGATAGAGAATGAGAAATATATTGCAATCTTTGGTATGAAATCAAATCTTTAGAAAAATGTTATTTAGCTTAATAATTTGAAGTGTCATAGAGTAAAATACAGGCGTCATTTCATTCTTTTAATATATCTGTAAATTTATACAAATTCCATGGCATTACAGTTCTGAGGAAAGTTATGGGTTTCTGTGCAATAGATGTTTCATACTGAAAACACATAAAAGACTTTATTAATATGTACCATGAAGGCGTTAATTTGTTTTGAATATAAGAAACATATCTACTATCTAACGTAGTTACAGAGATCAATATGTGTGATGCAACCAGAGTTGTATTAATCATAGCAAAAAGAAAGGGGACGCAACAGAATTTCATATTGCCAGTTTCGCAACTAAACGTATGGCATAGCGCCGCCCAGACGGGAAAGTGATTAGTTACTCTGAGTACCGTCTCGAAGGACCAAGGCTTGATTGGTTTGGTTTGATTTATTTAATTATGGCAAAGCACGAGAGGGCTATCTGCCTAAGGGGAGAGATGCCTTCGTAGAAGACCTTTCTTAAGGAAACTGGCTCGTATACAAGTTACGCATTGGGGAAAACCGCGAAAACGCCTATGTAGTCAGCCCGTTAACCTGGAGCCGAGCCCACGTCGGAACTACCAATGCTCAGCGACTTTACCACTCGGCCGCTGGTGGCCAGACCACGGCTTGAATCCCGGAGAAAGCATGGATGTAAATTGTCTGTGCTTTCATAGGAGGCAAAGGTGGCCACCTATTAGGTGCCTCCATAATAAAGTGACCACCACTTCCGGCTTTAGTAGTGGCCAACGCTTATAACGGCTAGTGTCCACCATTGGAAAACAAAAATGTATGGTATAGCTAATTCAAGAGCGAGAGAGAATGAAAGGGGGAAAACTGGCGTAAGGATATGCGAAGGAACCAAATCTTTTTAAGTGCGTAAGGCCTCCAAAAGGCCCTGAATGTAAACCTTATGTAAATGGACATAAGTGCTTAAGGCCTCTAAAATCCGGCCCTGGATGTAACAACTACAATAGCCAAAGGCCATAATGATTTTAATTGTCAGTATTTTCGAAGTCTGTAATTGTCTCTGTAGCAAACCCTTTTTTAGAAATTTACCTAAAAATATTAGTTGTGCAAATGCCTATTAAGA